CGCGCGCGTTTCATGCTCGATTTCTCTCGAGTTTATTTCCCTTGTGCTCTAAACCTCTAATGTACTTGTATTTGTACTATTATTATTCACTCTTAATGGTCTAAAAATAATGGTCTTAAGTCCCTCAATTAATCGTGTGCGTAAAAATGCGTACTTCCGATTCGTGCGCGATAAAGTGGAAATTCCAATAAATCCTTATAACGATAGTATCACTAACTAATAATTGAACACTTAAACATAAAAATATCTATTTCAAGACTAATGTACAAGTCTCCAATTTTTCAAGTGTATTGTATTCTCGAATCGATTATTATTTCCAATTGCGCATTCACTATTCTCACTTTACGAGCTTTCAAAAATTAAATTTTGAAACGAGTCATTTTAAAAATATAAGTAAGTTATAGTTCCATGTAATTGAGTATAAAGAGGTTGAAATAAAATATTCGAGGCAAACGGGCAATTAAATATTGAAATAAGCTAGTAATAGGGGCTTAAAATAGGAAATTTTGCGAGTCCTCACATAAGTCGAGTTTTAATTCCTCAAATCTCCAATTAATTTTTCTTAATCTACTATTGATCATTCTTACTTCTTCAAAATTAATACACTCTCGATTTAAATATAGTCTCAAAAAACGTGTACTCGTTGTTCCGAACTAAATGAGTTTTCGAAAAGTAAATTTTTTAACAAAATGCTTTTAAAACATAAGAGAGGCGTTTTTCCATACAAATGGATTTTAAGTAGTCGAATTAAATAATTCGGAGAAAAAGAGTGAATAACTATTTAAATAAACCAATAATATTTGACAAAAATAAGAAAATTTTCGGATTCTCACAGTTATTCCTTAACATCATGGAAGCATAAGTATAATCATCTTAACTAACTTCTAATCTTGACATAACAAGGGATTCTAACCCCTAAGAACCTCTCACCTCATTTTTAATCAATTCTAATATAGTTCGTCTTTACTTTTATTTACTTTCTTGCAATATACCACTTAGATGGTTGGTTTCACCACCTAATGGTCAATATTATATTTATTGCTTATGCTATATAGCCGATTGTACCGCCTATCTCTTCTAACTTTTACGGCTGCTTGTACCGCCTAAACTAACATTTTCCATGGCCAGTTGCACCGCCTAATTACTTTCTTTGCTTTTGTTTACTTAAACGTTAATTGCCTAGATAATAAAACAAATAATTAAATTCAAGTGATTGCCCCATTTTTAAGCCCCTGTGGGATCAACACCTATTATCCCTATACTTAATAAACGAGTTGTGCACTTGCAAAAATAGGGTAGCAAGGTTTTAAATTTGTAGTTTAGTAAAATACCCTAACACAGTTGCTCTATGACTATTAATGCTTGTATAGGCATTTATATCAACTAGTGGGAATGGCACACACTATGTGTACGTAAATCCAAAAAGAAAAATTTTAAAACATATATTAAATTTTTTAGTAGTTGTTGGAGGTTTTGTTTTAGAAATATGTGATTAGCATTTATTTTACCTATTTTTAGTTAGGTTTTAGGGTAAGTTTTTGGTGTGGTTTAAGTTAAAATGGAAGAATTGAATTCCTTTATAAGTTACTTTTCATACAAATAATATTTTTTAACTAAAGGATACAAGAGTATGGATTAATATGCAAATGTATGTTGTTTTTGTAGGGTTTTGTATCTTATGAATTGATTCAAGTTAAAAAAAGTTTGACAACTTTGACACACTTTATTATTTTGGCTATATCTAGAGCTACAAATATCATATTGAGATGATTCTTAAGTCATTTTGAAGTTAAGACATAGCTCTACAATTCATGTGAAGATATCGAAATTTAGTTCATTGATTCTTCAGGTCAAAAAGCTGAAATACAGTCAGAAAATTTCCTAACAAAAGCTAAAATAGAATATCGACCAGTTAGGGGCATTTTGGTTATTTCTTAACCTACATAAATCTAAATGAGATGATTCTTAATGCATTGAAAAACTAACTCAAAGAACTACAACTTTCATGTTTTGTACAAGACCTAATTCAACTTCCATTATCAATAATATTGCAGTTGAATTTGATCCAAAAATAGAGCAAAGTTGAGATTTGAGCTTAAAGTGCAAAACTAAAGCATATGAAGAACCGCGAGGCGATCTGTAAGGTATACCTCGTGGATCCTTGAGAAAGCATTGCAACTTGATTCTACAACTTGCATTCATTTCAGACTACTTTTTGGGCCTATTTTTCTGATAGAATCCGACTAGATCCAACTAAACTTGAGTTGGAAAAGTGAAAAGCAACTTTATGATTACTTTATGAGCACATTTCTCATCCAAAAACATCTATAAATATCTCTTGTATCTCATTGACTTGAAGCACTTTGTAGGATCCTTTAGCATCTTATAGTGTGAAGTACAGTAGAGTAGAAAAAGAGATAGAAGTAGTTTAACTCTAATTTTATATTGAGAGTTTGTTTCTTAGTTTAAGAACTTTGACAGAAAGGTGAAAACACTCTTGTACTAAGTTTATTTGAGAGATCAACTTTTAAAGGAATTCAAGGATTCAAACTTCAAGATACTAAATAAGACAAACTTTGTCTCTTGTTCTTATTTGCCATGATTTGTTATAAGTTTGTTTCATGCTTAGATACTCTTAATATGATGTCTAACTAAATTTTTTTTTCATACACTAGGGTGAAGATGAACTAGTTATAGTTTTGATTTAAAATAGTTAGGAGATGATTATACTTTTTCATGGTATTTTAGTTTGAGAACTTGTGCTTATGCTTTATAGTTGTTTGGCTATCAACTATGAAAGATTTGATAATTGTTGAGCAATGAAAGTTGCCTTCAAATAGATCTAAATTCTTAAACATTAGCCTTATTCTCACGAAAATAGTGAATAATGATTGGTTGAATTCATACAATAATTTATTTGATCTTATTTAACTTGTTTCTTACCTTTTCTCTATGAACATAGGTGAAGGATAATTCAAGGAGTTAAAGAAATTGCTAAAAACAAATTATACAGGAATTAACCAAGGCAGTTTCTCTTAAATGTCCAATGGCGAAAGCAAAGGATATGCATTTGGAAGTTATTCCTTGAAAATTTATGGCAGTTGCTCTTAAATGCCCAATGGTGAAAGCAAAGAACATGCATTTGGAAGTTATTCCTATGACAATTTATGAAAGTATAAGTATAATCACCTTAATTAACTTCTAATCTTCACATAATAGGGGATTCTAATTTACAGGATCCTCTCACTAAATCTTTAAACAATTCTAATGTAACTTGTCTTTACTTTTATTTATTTTCTTGTTACATACCCCCTAGATGGTTGGTTTTACCACCAAATGCCCGGTTTTACATTCATAACTTCTAACTTTTATGGCCAGTTGTATTGCCTAAACTAACATCTTTCATGGCCCGTTTTACCATCTAGTTAATTTTTTTTGTTTTTACTTCCTTAACTTTGATTGCTTAGATAATAAAGCAACTGATTAAACTCAAGTGATTGCTAAATTTTAAGTCCTTGTGAGATCGATATTTATTATCCCTATACTCAATAAACGAATCATGCACTTGCGGAATAGGGTAATAAGGTTTTAAAATTTGTAACGTAGTAACATACCCTACCAATATGGATGGAAGAATTGTGTTTTTCATTTTTTATTTTGAATAGGAAGTTTTCGCAGTTATTGCCTCTTTAAAAGTTATGTTCCACTAAAAAATGGGTATGCGTGTGTTTGTTGTATTCATAGTTCTGTACGGGTAGAAAGTTTAATAGATAAGTTTCGTTTGAATTAGTTGTTTTTGGAAGTGCTTTTTAAAAACTTTACCATAACTATATATATATATATATATATATGTAAAAATTTTACTGTAAATATTTTTGGGTTATTTTTAGAGGTATTTTTAGGAGTTTTAAAGTATATTTTGAAATATTTTTATAATTTATAACGTTTTTGGGGTATTTTATTTTAAATTTTACACCACTCATCACCACCACCACCACCCCCTCCCTCTCTTTCCTCTCCTCCTTTCCTCTCCCTCCTCTCTCCTCCTCTCCTTTCTCGCTGCCCCCAAACCCCTCTCATGAGGTTTTTGATAATTTCGCTGAGATCTCTTGAAATTTGAAAAATTACACATACCTACATTGTTATTTAAAATGACAATTTTAACCTTAAATATTTTAATGAAATTCCCTTATTCGATATGCTTATACTTAGAATGGGTTTTTAAATTATTTTTTTATTTTTTTTCCTTCTTATTCCTTTTTATTTTAATTTCTCACCAATAAATTTGTAGAACTACCATTATTGCCTTTAGTTTCTATTGTAACCAAAATGTTGAACTAGTGATGTTTTTTACGAGTTAATTTTATATGTAATTCAACATTTTTGCTAATCTTTGTTTTGTATTTTTTTGGGTACTAAAATTAACAATAAATAAAAAAGAAATGATCGAAATCCACTACTAAATTATGATAATCCCACTACTTTAAAAATCCATAAACTTTAAATGAATTATTTCAACATTTTCTTTTCTATCTTATAAATCTAAATCCATAATAAAGTACCATCAAAAGTATCTTATTAGAGTAATAAAATTATTATTATAGTTATTTATCAAATAGTATGTATGGACATGAAAAATTTAATATATTTTCCCTATAATTATATTAAATAATCTTATAATTATATAGAAAAATAAATTAAAACTCATTACACACAAGCATTTTTGGATATTCATTTAAAATTTGGCCAAGTCAATATTATTTTAAGGTTTTACTAAAACTATCAAATCAAGGGAGATACATATAATTTTTCAATTTTTAGGGGAGCTTAGTGAAATTATCAGAAAACTTAGAGGAGGTTTCTGAAATTATCGCTTCATTTTAACCAAAAATAATTGAAGTGACAGATAATAGTGGATACTGGAGGGTATATTGGGCAAAATAAATAATTGAAGTGACAGCTTGACAAAAAGAATAAAAGAACTGCCCAAGCCCGGATCAGCGCCGAGGGTCCACAGCCATATAAACTCCTCCGTCGAGCTCAACACAGAGCAGAAAACCAGAAGGAATCGAAGAAAAGAGAGATGTTAGGAATGGAGGAACCAATTTTACTGCTGAAATTACTCAATGGCGGCGATTCGCGGCCTTTGGATGAACTCATCTCGGAATTCAAGTCCAAAGTCCAGCCTTCTCGCATCTTCGCCTTCTGCTCCTCCGTCGCCATTTTACTCACCGAGGCATTTTCTTTTAAATTTTAATTCCTAATCTCTCTCAATTCTGCTTGTTCTTTTCTATGTTTTTCTTCGATGATATACTGAAATCTGGTAATTGGACGTTCCGGTGGTGTTATCGATTAGGTTTTTTTGTAAGCAACATTGAGAGTAGTAGTATAATAAGCTTTGTAGTTGGGAAAAAGGAACTCAGTTTTAATTATTTTAATCAAGCGTTAGTCCGAAATGGATTTATTTAGAATTCTTTTTTGAAATCGCTTCATTTGATTAACGTTGTGTATGCTCAAATGTCTTGTAGATTGTAGATTAGTAGAAATTTTATTTTTTTAGTATCTCTTTATTTGATTAGGGCTGTGGATGCTAAAATATTTGGTGGATTGTGGATTAATGGACACTTGATTTTTAATTAGGATCTTATTTAGTAGGAAAATGAATGATTACGTCTGCTGTCGGTGGTACAGGTTTTTTCTGGTAGACTGTTAGAGTTCTATTTGATATTTTTCGCATGTCATTGTTTTCAGTTATGATTTATGTGAGGATGGAAATTTTGTAAAATTAGGAGTTGGCATTCTAATGAAAGTTGTTGACTTGGAAAACATCGATTTAAATGATTTAGAAATCTCATTGCTAATTTGGGTTTAATTCTTACAACATAGGCAGTCAGGAGTCCGTTTAGTGGAAGGTTTTGCAGTCATGAAGGTAATCAAGTAATTGGTGAATGGATAAGTAGCCAAAGTTTAGGGCAAAGGAAGTTGACTTATTCGGTCGGATAGATAATATGTCTTCTAACTCATTGTTTGCATGCATATGCTATAGTTGATGTTGTCTTTGTCTATCACTTCAAATTTGGTTTTAAAATTCAGCAATATACTTATTTTCCATAAAAGTGTTAGGGATTGAAACAAAAAATAGAAGAATAATATTTGGCCTCATGTTTGTATGTATATATTTTTCTTCTTTTTTTGCTTGTGAATGAAAACAGAAATAAGGCTAAATTTTTCTCCCTATCCTTTCTTAATCTGTTAGTATGGGGAATTCCAATCATCAATGGTTGTATGTTCTGTTATTGCAGAGTAAAGTGTTAAGACCAACACAGCGTCTGGTTGGATTTGCAATTCTCCACCAGGCATATTCTTTCCAGCAGCCTAGTTCTAACCCGTTCAGTTTTGTGCTTGTGAATGTAAGTGTGCATATGTCTTCTTCTTATCATATTTGTTATTCTCAGGAATTTGTTTATGCTCTTTTAATGGTCAATTTTTAATAATCATGAACTATGTAAGACTGTTCAGCTGTGCAGTATGCACAGTGATGGTAGAAAAGCTGACAGTATTTTCAATTAACGTTTTTATGGAGTAACAAGTCATTTGACTGTCTGCTGTATGAGACACTGATAGTCTGGTGAATTTACATAATCACATGAACCTGAAGTGGAGGCCTATCCATTACTGTGGGAAAGACTACTTTTGAGAGCCTATTTTTCGCTTCTAGAATATGAAATTGTTGACAAATTAATAGCAACAAATCCTCATATATAGGCTATGTGATGTTGGCCCATGTGAATTTCTGAGACTTCAAATGACTTTTGACTTTTGTCTTGTTGGCTTGTGGTATGTCATCTTGCACTTACTTTTATTGGTATCTTGAGATTATTTGAGCTCCTTTGTTGTTAAATGTTGCCAAAAGTCATGCGTAGTGGTTTTAAATCACCAGACCATCCTACAAAGAGCATCGTTGTGACAAAGTTTTACAGAACTTACCGTTCATCCAAAGGCAGAAAGACCAAATGATTCCTAAGTTTGAACGTGCACATAACTTCTGAACAGTGGAAAAGCATTATCACATATGGCTTATATACTAAGATTAGTATAAAGTGGATGTGTAGTTGCAGGACTAGTATCTGGTTCCCCTCTCCCCACGTACACTGAAAGAAAAGCAAACAGAAAAGAGATAATTAATTGGGAATTTGCTTTAAAGTAGATGTTTATATTTTCTGATATATGACATTTTTGTTATCCATCTAATGCTCCAGAATTTTGCCTCCTACGATAACTTTTCTGTCTGCTATGGAATGTTGTTGGTGATGGTTGACTTTCGTATCTCCTCCTGCTATTGTGGGGTTTGTAGGCAGCATCCAATGAAGAAGCTGAAAAATTTGAAAGAGGTTTTATTCTTCAATTGTTAGGCTCCGCCAACTCCACGAATAAAGCAGAGGTATCGTTTAACAATCCAATTTGCATGTCTAGTTTTTAGGCCTGAGAAATTCTAATGATTCAGGTTTCATTAGCTTCTAATCAGTATTGTTCAAGTTAACGTAGGAAGGTAGATGCTATTGGCTTTTCTGGCTTTTAAGTAACGGTTCTAATGCTGGGTAATCTCAGAAATTTGGGGCTATGAATTGTCTGTTCCAACCACATTTAGTATGTACTTTTCATTTAGATCTTGGTTCTTGGCAAAAGTATATTTTAGCAATATATGCCTAAAACTTGTAGTATATTTATCTTTGTGGACTGTCAGAAGCATAAGGAACTTCTTGAGCAGGTTGACTAGAAGCAGTTTAAGTTTATTTTAAAATAAAAAATGAACAGATTACTGGCTGGTTTTAACCGGTAGAATTTTTTGGATGAGGTGGTTGTTGAATTTCCATTCATTGTTGGATTGTGTCCTGCAAAATTTGCAGGATTCGGAGGGAAAAAGTTTGTTGCACAGAATAATCCCAATAACTACTCGTTGACTGCATATTATCTGTAAAAGTTTTTCTTGTCAAACAAACTTGCACAAAAAAGTGATTGCTCTTTACTTTCCTTCACTTTACCATCCCATAACTTTCCTTCTAACTAAATAGGGCCTTAGGGAACTTTTTTGCACTCAGGATGATGATTTCAATAAACAAATAGAATAGAGAATATGTTTACTGTGGATACTGACTTAGAATTGTTTATGTTGTTAGAGGTAAAAAATAAATAAGTGATACTCTAGACTTGAACTATGAAGAAACTTGTTAAAGAGGTAATAACTTTTTATCATTTATTGGTTCTCTCTCTATCTCCCTGGCCGTTACTTACATAAGATAAAATTGGGAAGCATTCCAATTCTATTCTTTTTTTCTTTTCTTGATTTCTCTTAGATTTATTATGATCTTTGGGGTTGTCCTAGCCAATTTACTAGCTCATATAAGAAGAGACAAGTAGTCTCTAGCTACCCTGTTGTGACAAATGGTTTATTGCCTGCATGAACTTCAAGCACATCATATGTTGTAGATTTTCCTCCTGCAAATGTTTTTTGTTAGCAAAATGCAAGGGAGACAATTCGTCCTTTCTTTGAAGGGAAATATCCCTTGCAGTTTTTCTTTTTTCTTGTACAAATATTTTGTTCCCCTTTTTGGATAATTAAAGATTTGTGCATTGACTCTGCAACTGAAGCTAATCTATCCATAGAAATATCATCATCCTCTAGTTGTCTGCGGAATGTTTATTTTATTCTAGGTCCAAACTATTTTTTCTGTTGGCTTTTTAATGCAGGTCCTGAAATTGTCTGTTGCAGATTACATGAGAAACTTTGTTCCTTCATCACACGTGAGTTATATATTTTGTCATAGCATCAAATTTGATATCTTCTTGAATAATATGTTCTAATATGCATTCTTCAGACTTTTCCTCCTAGTGAGCAGCTACAGCAGCAGTATTGTAGTAAAGTTGGCCCAGTATTATTTGGTAGCTTGTTCAGGAATCGTGTGATAAATATCTTGCCAGATCCCGATGTTCCACTGGGCTGTGATCCCAATTCGACAGAGTAGGTGTTCTTTCTAGTAATATGAGCAGTCCATCTCTTTTGTGGTCTAAATACTTGAGGCATATCCAGCTTGCACACTCGCGTGCTAATTTGCTTATTGCTTCCTGACACAATCAGTTTTGTTTTATTCTCAATAGCCTTGTGCTCAAATGTCAGGCTTGACCTGCAACCTGGAGTCACACCCAAGACTGGATCTGGGGATAGGGATGAGACCATAAGTGGATTGCTGCAAAATTTATCATTGGAAGGATTAGGTCCTCAATGGATCAGACAACAACCACCGAGGCTACCAGTGCTAGAGGGAGAAGTAAGGGCACCAACATTAAGCTCATTACCCAGAAAGAGTAATCTACATAACTCTTGCTTCACTAAAATCTTATTATTTGTACAGCTGGTGTGGTTAAATCCGGATAATACTCATGAGCTGATGTGGGATCATGGTATGTGTGCTGATACTAGCAGAGGAGCAGCAGTTAGGGATTTGATTGCAAAAGCTTTGAAAGGGCCACTTGCACCTGCTCAACGGGAGGTGTTTACACCTTATCTTTCTTGAGGTGTTTAAGATTTGAAACTTATTTTTTGCTGTCAGACGTGTGCTGAATTGCTTATATGCACTGTTGTCCAGCAAGTCTTATTGGAGTTTGCCAATGATCCAAAGCTTGTATATCACTGTGGGCTGACACCAAGAAAGCTACCAGTATGTTATTTTATAGGCATATCGATGTGTTCTATGTGGTAATTTCCTGAATTCGAGAGTTCTTTTGTTTGGTTATCAGGAACTTGTGGAGAATAATCCTATCATTGCAGTTGAAGTTCTCGTTAAGCTTGCAAATTCAGCTGAAATTGAAGAGTATGTTCATCTTTTTATGTTATAGTACATGAAACTTAATCTTATTAGTGTTTCGGCAACAAATTTGTTTATGAATGCAGGTATTTCACTGTTCTTGTCAATATGGATATGAGCCTTCATTCAATGGAAGTGGTTAACAGGCTTACTACAGCTGTCGAACTACCGACCGAATTCATTCATTTGTATATAACGAACTGTATATCTTCCTGTGAGAACGCCAAGGTTCTTAGTCCTCTCTATGCTTTGGTGTACTTCCCAATTTCCGCAACCCCACATTGAAACCCTTAAACCTTTGACCTCATCATGGTTCTATTTTAGCTCTCTCTCTCTCTCTATCTCTTCTTCTAATTGTCTTCTAATTTTTTTTGTTGGGGGGGCTTCGTGTATTAAGCAGTAATAACATGATGTGATCTATCAGAATACTGTGGTAGGTCATCTCCATGACATGATTTTAGGTGAATAGCTTCATTGAACTTTATGAAGAGAACGTATGCCAGTTGCAAATAATCCAGGCATTGATTTTTGCCGTGGTATAGTTCTTTCCGCTAATTATGTTTATCCATTGAAAAGTCTACAATTTCCTGCTTCAATCAAGACAGACATGTACTGTGGTAGCTGACAATTCCAGAGGCTGAAGGTTACAATCCTTGTTTGATGCTCTTTTTGTTATGGCTGTCTATTTGAAAATAATTCTTGTTTGAGTTACATTTCTAGAATGAGATGAATATCGGATACGTCAATTTTTGAGGGCAATTATGGCTGAATTGGAGTGTGAAATTTAGTCTAAAGCTATGGAAGCTAATTGAGAGCTGAAATCTTTATTTAACTCAAGCAAGGATTTGTTGCAATGATAGGTAATGGAGATGGCTTGAAAACGCTTTTTAATAACTTTTATTAGATATTCATATGATAGGTTCAATTTGATATTTTTGGCACATGAAGGTATTTAATGCTAACAGAACATTTTAACTTGTCAACTTTTCAGGAACAAAACTTGTGTTTTCCATTAAACTGTAAACATGAATTTTCTTTTAGTGCTTAAAATTCTTGGGATGATATTTGGATGCCATTTATAGGCTTACCATATCTCTTTCTCTCTCTCTCATCTTCACCTGCCTATGTGTGCATGTGTATAAAATCGGCACACACGATAACAGATGTGGCTGTCTGAGTCTTTGTGTGTACATTAATTGGATGAAACCTGAAGATCTAAGCAAGTAGTAGAGTTGGTATCCGCTAATCCTTTGTTTACCATTTCTCAGGACAAGTACATGCAGAATAGACTTGTCAGACTTGTGTGTGTCTTCCTGCAGAGCCTGATCCGGAATAAAATAATCAATGGTGAGTCTACTGTTCAACATATAGTTGACACTATTCTTGGGTGACTATAGATGCTACTGCTGACTGATTGTGTCTGCGAATTGTGTTAACAACGAATGCCTTGTTGAATGATATCATGGGCAAGTGAATTTTGATCTCATATGTATGAGAATGTTATCTTTTGCTTTTCACGTTCTTGGATTGGTATTCGTAGGTATTGCCTGGTTTAATGTTGATTCATAGAAAATAAGCAAGTAGGTGCAAAGAAATAGCTATCAGATGCAGTGTTCTTTCTGAATTGGAAATTAGAGCATCTTGTTAGGTACTATGGTGGTCCAAAATAGATTTCCAGTAAAGCCTCATCAGCAATATCTGCAATCATGGACAATTTGAGACCTAGGGTGTCCAGTCATCAATCTGTTGTGAAGAATTAAAGTTCAGCATATATTTTGTTTATGTGAGGAAAGTCAGGGGCATATAAGCATTTTCAGTAGGCTCGCTTTTAGTAAACCGCAATAATGAACGCCATAGAAGAGGGGACTGAGCTGTGCATGTCATGGAATCCTTTTATGGTTCAGGCACAAGTTGATTTGTAAATATTAAAGAAAATTGTGAATGGTTGGTTCATAGCTGTTTAGGAGAATTGATGAAATTATCTGCCAAATTAAGAGGTGGATTAGAGAATATAGATTCACCTTCAGCCATATCTGTAGAGAAGGCAATCATCTTGCAGAGTTTTTGGCCAATTTAGGCTGCGACTCACAATGGAATGAAGGCTAAAGATTAACTTTTATTCCAAAATTTGCTAGGAGAATCTTAGATTGGATAGATTGCATATTGGCTATACTTTCTTCTTGATGTACTAAAATATTTCTAATAAAATGAAGGATCTATTTCAGAACCCCCAACCTATACTTGGTGCTTTGTTAAAAAAGAGAGAGAACCTGCAATCATGAATAGGTTGGAGTTGTTTCCTTTCAAATAAAAAATGTATGATTTGGGAAGTTACAATGTTTGCAGATGGTTTCTGAAGGGTAATGCGTTTCAAGTCATGCTTCTCTCATATTATGTCTGCCTGTTAAAGCCTACATTTAAAAAGAAAAATAAAGATGAGTGAGAATACATAATGGCTTTTGCCTTTTTAATATAGAGCTAGTGAGCTTCTAGTAATGATCTGTACAAGGTGCTTCAGTTCTTAGACATACGCTTCAGGGATTGGGTTGAGATTGGCTTCTGATTGTCTCAGCTTTGATATTTGAACAGCTGGGCATACTCGTGAAAATTTTGATAACGTAATTGATGTTTCATCTTGGTTTTGGTTTTCTTCTTTTTATTGGCGTTTCTCGTCCATCTTTTTGCTTTTCTGTGACTTTGAGTGCACGTGTTCTTTGCCGTCAAGGATGGGTTCATGAGTTGGTGCGTTCAGTTGGGTGGTGCATTGGTTGTTGCCATTTGGTCGATACAAGTTCCCTTGGGTTTTGTCAGTATGTTTTTAGTTTGAATAGACATATAATGTGAAGGCAGTTGATTTGTCAAACCATTGAGCCAAACCTAAGAACTAGAACTGTGAAATTATGGTTAAAAGCCTAAAGTAATGCCTGATGTACCTTGAAACACATCAGTTGCATAAAACCTGGAAGGATCATCAACAGCTGTGGGATTTGAAAACAATAGAGAATGGCGCATAAGTTCATATTAAGAAGAAATTTTTTTAGTGATGACCTAATCATGTAACCAAAATCTGAAAAAGATATTTAGTGCAAGTACTTAATGGAGTTAAATTAGGTGTTCTTTTGCTAGTATTGTACTATTATTTGTACCTGCATATGAAGTATGTATTGAATGATGGTTCTACTCCTCTTGTAACTCATTGTCATTATTTCTTGACTATTTTGTGTCTGCAGGAGTACGCATATGTTGCTTTTGCGTACAACCCTTAGACAGTGGAAGATGAACTTAATCGCCCAATCAACTTTTTCATTAGCATTATTGGATAACTAAAAAGAATAATTGCATTATTTAGACAACATGAAATGGATTGACAAATTATTAACGAAGCAATGCTAGAACCTTATGTAGTTGAAGAGATAATTAATTCAGTTAATTATGGCCTAGTGGTTCGTTTGTAAACAGGTAAAATTTTAATGACACCATTGCCGAGTCAAAATTTTCAAAGTTTTTGAATGAAACTGAACTCTACGGAAGATAATTTATTTCATCTGTTGATTTATAGGGGGTTTTGTTATATATCGAAATCCTTTCCTTGCAGAACATTTCCTCGCTTGAGTAACTTACGCTTCCTTGTGCATGCAAAATTTACATTAGATATCTTATTAGAATTATTTTCCGTACTAGTCAACAAACGTATAAGGTGATTTAAAGGCAAATATTTCACTGGTGTTAGAATTCCAGGTAAGTAGCAATCCTGCAAGCTAATTTTTCAGTCCTCTGAAAAAGCATAAGACTTGGAATTAGTATTTTAAGTAATTCTGGACAGTAACAGGTTGGTGGGATTCGAATATTTTCAATGGCGCTCTCAGTGTCTCTTCCATTTTCAGTTAAGAATCGATGAATATGAAAGTCCAATTCAAATTTTATGAATAGGTTGTTCATCTTGATCTGTTTTAAATCTAAAGTGTTCTAAGTGCAAATATGCCAGTGTTTTTTTTTGAAGCCTTGATTTATTCTTATTGAGCTACTTTACTAACTGTTGTCAAACCATTTGCAATGCAGTTCAGGATCTATTCATTGAAGTCCAAGCCTTTTGTATAGAGTTTTCAAGGATAAGAGAAGCAGCTGGGTTGTTTAGGCTCCTTAAAAGCTTAGAATAAGATAGTCTAGTTTAACTCAGTTCTCCTTCCCTTTCGTCGTGTAAGAAATCTTCATGTTATCCATTTTCCTCCAGCAAACCAATTTTTTTCCCCCTTCCTGCCATGTTGTTGTGATGTTCTATTTTGAGGATAGCATCGTGACTTGTAATGTAGTTGGATTTTTTCCCCTTTTGGTTGCTTAATCTTTTCCAGTGTTTTCATGCAGAGCTCATTGTTTCACCCAGCAACTGAATGGGAAAAATTAATATATTGATGTGGAATTTCTACTTTGTGATTGTATTTGTCTGAGTAGGTTTGTCTTCATTAAGAATTAAAAGCGTTCGCTGACTTACATTGACCACATGAGACGTCGCGGGTTGCATCCTGCAGTATTATTAAATGTTTTCCCAATGGTTGCATTACTAGAGGCCAATGCTGTTCGAAAGAAGGTGAAGACAAGAGTAGTGAATTCCCTGGCTGTCAGAACCAAAGGGCTAAATAGAATAGTTATATTGCTGAACTTGAGGAGTAATTAAACCACAAGAGCAGATCATGCTTTAAAATTGGAGAAAATACATCTTCTTTATCTGTTTTGTTTTTTATGAGGAAGTTGAACTTCCTACTACCAAAAAAATGATGAAGTTATATGGATGTGTATATACACCATAGTTATTAAATCCGGATCGGAGCTCAACCCAGCAAGGGGATCGGGTCACTGGGTTAGTGGTTCAATTGCGGGTCGATTGGTTGAATCGTCGGGTTCTAAAAATAATATAATTAAATATTTATATTACTAATAATTAAAATTATACAAAATAGTAAAAATATAAATTACTTTTGTGTAATTCAGACAACTCCTCTACTGAACTTCAATTATTCAAACTTCAAAGTTGCATTACATCATCTTAAAACATTATAGTACCTCATTACATATCCCAAAAGTTCCATCTGGTTTCATCCATTAACATTAACATAAAACAAGTGTTTCAAACTTGTAACTTTCAAGCTTCCAATCATTAAACGAAAAAAAACAAGGATAACAAATTGAACCAATGACAACTATCTTCTAAACTTATCATCTCCACAGTTCCCAACTACTACCAAATTCATAACCACCTTGAGTTGGATCATCCATGCAGTTTTGATTAGGTTCATTTCCTTCAGCATTGTTTTCATTGTTGTATCATCTTCATCAGCACTGTCTACTTCATCCAAATTCAGAAAAGTAAAACAAAAGAATAAAGATAGACACCAATCACTCATATGTAGTAATAATTAAATGAATAAATTAGACAAGTAAAAATACCTATTTACTTACCATTTTGTGAGTTGCTTTGGATATCACATGCTGTCAATTCATTCCTAAAAGTTTCCAATTCAGCTACAGTCAAAGTTGGAGGTTCTTCTTCTAAAATCCAAGTCTCATTTGGATTGAACTCCCCAAAATCAATAGGGTCATAGTTTCTTCCCCTTGCATTTCTAAGCAACACAAAAAAGTGCTAATGTAAATATCTCATCCTATTTGAGAAAATCTGAGATTCCAATAAGAACTAGGCAATAATATACCTTTGTTGTAATATCAAGTTATAGTGGACATAAACCAAGTCATTCAATCTTTGATGTTCCAATCTGTTTCTTTTTTTCGAGTGGATATGTTCAAAGATACTCCAGTTCCTTTCAAATCCAGAAGCACTACAAGTTTGGCTTAAAATACGTACAGCTAATTTTTGTAAATGAGGCGCGCTACTACCATACCATGTCCACTACTCATCTATTAAAATAAGTTAAAAAAATTAGAAGATGAAATTAGAATCTAATAATCAAAAAATGAAATTCTTGTTTGTAATTCACTAATGTGCATACTGGGAGCATGGCATTACGATCTCTTATTGCAGAAACTCTTCCAAAATCACCTTCAGCTTTGTATTTTTAAATGTACCAAATGAAGCAAGAAATTTTGGCTCAAGAATTGCATAAGGTAATCATTTAATTAGCTCAACTTTTTTTAAAAGTCATCATACCAGCAAAAATTAGCATAAGGTTATTATTGGTAAGCAACTAGCTTTTAGAGTATTATTATCTCTCCAATGGTTGAGATGGTCGAGCACTGCAGGAAGTTACTATGGACTTTTGTGTTTATTGGATTACTGGCTCTAGTAAGCTAATTAAGGCAGCTGTAGGAAGCTAATTGTGCATCAAAAGGTGAATTATCTTTTCTGGTGCATAAGATGATATAAAGCCATGGAAAATGAAACTAAATCAGTCGCAGCTGATTTTTGTTTCTATGGTTGCTTTTTTTCCTTTTCTTTTAATTAAGATTCTTTTTCCATTCTCTTAAGTTTCAACTGCAAATTTTGTTGTAGAGCTTCTGCGTGTGTTGAGGAGGTTAATCATGAAAGAACAGTGGATTGATCTATCACTTCAATATTGAACTCTCAGAACTCTTAAGATGTCATTAGCTTGTAATTCTCGGGGTCAAAATCTCAGAATTTAGCTTATCCACAAGCATGTTTCAAGTTTCAACTATTTTTACTAAAAATGTTCCTAACAAACATTTTCACAAACACCTAAAAGGTTCCAAAAAAAGAACCCTGTTAAGAGAAACATCTAAAGTTATGAGCTCAGGAATAATTCAACAACCAACCAAAAAAAGAATCACATAAATATAAGCTGAAATTAGATAGAGAAAATTAGAACTTACGCACAAAAAATGTGATGAACAGTGGCTGCAAAATTAATTCTTGCCAAAGTTGATAAGACTTAGTGTTGACCTTGGTCCCTAACTTTTGATATTTACAAAAACAATGGATAATTCTAATATCTCTTCAAGAAATATTTTAAGTTATGAAGCAAATTCACAGATCAAGTGTAATTGAAAGGGGCAATGGCTGCTGAAAGCTGTCGGACGCTTGGATCGGACGCCCGATAATCATTGCGTAACTTCGGACGCATGAAGAACTCCACCACCGGACGTCCGAAGGAAATAAGACATTCTCCCTGGATCACTGATCGGACGCAAGCATCGGACGTCCGATAGGATCCTTCAAAATCGACAAAACCATCGGACGCTGAATATGTCTTCATCGGACGTCCGATAGAAACAAGATGATTTCTCAAACCTCTTTGTTTGCTGTCGGACACACAAAGAGCTTGCACCGGACGTCCGATAGAATTGAAGAAAATTTCTCAAACTCACTGCCTGCTGTCGGACGCAAAAAACAGGAGTATCGGACGTCCGATACTCCAACGGCTAGTTGACTGATTAGCTACTTTCTATCCGTTGGAAGCATTAATGAGACACTTTTTTGGTCCTATATAAATAGTGGTTGGTCAGATACTTCAAACAACTTTTGTACACTGAACATACAAAAGATCTAGAGTAATTTTAGTGAAAAAAATACTCTCCAAGGAAGATTTGTAGTCTTAATGGTGTGAGTTCATTGTAAACTTTTCATTTGTGAGTGAATACTTCATGAGTGTAGATCTGCGAGGGTTGTCCGGAGGGATAGTAAAACGTCCTAACTTGACCGAGTGGAGTTCCGGGCAAGGAGGAGGTGAACCTTTCTTTGTACACAAGAGTGATTGTAATTCATCAATTTGAAGATGTTTGTTTGAATTAATCTACAAACTCAAGAGGAATTGGGTAGTTAATTGGTTGCAATTCTTTCCCTTTTATTTACTTATTGTTACATTTGTGATATTTACATTGCTTATCTCTTCCACTTGGTTGTCTTCGATCCTTACAATTGGTATCAGAGTTTGGTCTCCTAGAGATTAATCTCAATCAGCTTGGGAGTAAAAATGACAACCAATAATGCTATATTTTTTTAAGGACATTCTATCATTAGACCACCGATGTTTAATGGGTCAAATTATGTGAGTTGGAAAGAAAGAATGATTATCTTTTTGCAATCTATTGATATTGAATTGTGGTTTATTATTAGTGAAGGTCCATATGATGCCTCTCTTATAGATGAAAATACTCATAGATCAAGACTAAAAATAAGAAGTGAACTGACTACTGTGGATAGAGCTAATCTCACCTTAAATGCAAAAGCCATGAATGTGTTATATTGTGCTTTAGACTCAAATGAATCTATTAGAGTCAAGGGTTGTAAGTCCGCTAAAGAAATTTGGGACAAATTTAGAAAAATTCATGAAGGAAGTGAGAATGTGAGAGAACAAAAGAATTCTATTCTGGTTACCAAGTATGAATCGTTCAAGATGGAACCTCATAAAAATATTGATGAGATGTACTGTAGATTCAACTACCTCATTAAGGATTTAGAGGTGCTGGAAAAAGAATACTCTATAGGTGAGAAAAACAGAAAAATTCTGAATGCTTTGTCTAAAGATTGGGAAAGTAAAGTAACTGCTATTGAAGAGACTAAAGATTTGAATACTATGTCTATTGAATCTCTTATTAATTCTCTAACCTCTTATGAGATGAAACTTAAGTCCAAAGTGCAAGAGGAAAAGGATGCAAAGGTAAGAAGGAGCATTGCTCTAAAAGCATTTCAAAATAAAGATGATTCGGCCTCCTTGGATGAAAAAAATATGGAAGTTGATGACAGTGATCTTGCTCTCATAACAAGAAATTTTAAGAAAATTCTCAACAAAAGGAGATTTAAAAGAGGAGGATCTAGTAATTCAGATTCTAATCAATTCAACAATGTAAGAAACAAAGAAAAGTATGAGGCCAACAAAAAGTAAGGTGACAAATGTTATGAATGCGACCAATTTGGACACTACATGAATGAGTGTCCAATGAAGAAGAGGAAAGCTGAAAGAAAACCAAGATTCAACAACTTCCAATTCACATGGAATGAGTGCAACTCCGATGGTAAAATGGAAGAGGAAGAAAAATCTGTTCAATTGACTTTTATGGCCATTGGAGATGATGAGTTAACATCTTCTAACTCTCAATTTGAAAGTAATGATGATCTTGAATTTTTCATTATAAAATTGCATGATAGTGTGAAAGAATCTTATGCTAGAAAAAAGGAATTAAAACATAAAATTAGCTTTCCTTTTCAGGACAATGCACGTCTTTTTCAAGAAAATAAAAAACTGAAAATTGAAAGTGATTTCTTAAAAAAGAGTGAGACTGTTTTACACTTTTAGCTTGATAGAAAAACAAAACTTTGTAAAATGTTCAAAAAGGAACAAGGTAATTTGAAAAAAAGAATGGATAATTTAAATGAGTTGCTCCAATATACAAAACAAGACTGTTTTCAAAGTAATAAATCAAAACCTCATTTTGGCACTTATCAGAAGAAGATAAATTCTGCTGAAAATGA